TTCTTGTAAGAATTTTTTTTATTTCAGTTAAAATTATAAACAAAATGACTAAATGACCCAAATTTTTTCAAATGACAAAATGACCTAGGTCATTGAGTCATGAGTCATTTGCAAATGACTTGATTTCTAAATGACACAGAATGACCGGTCATTTTGGCATGACTTCGGGTCATTTGAAAATTAGTCAAATGACCTGGTCATTTGCCATCACTGATACAAAGTGCCTATTGGTTCAAAAAAAGAAGGATGAAGATGTAGTAAAATCTGGCTATAAGAAGGTGAAACCTAGAAGGAATCCAATCTGAGCAGTCCGATTTGACTAGTCCAGAACAGTAAACAGAGGTTTATTTTTTATATTTGGATATTATATATGCTATAATAAAAATGGTTCTTATAAATTGCTCAGTTGGAGAAACCAGCCCCACCTAAGCAGTACTCGATACAGGCATTAATGTAAGTTGTGTTAGTGAAAAATATGTTGATAGAATAGGAATAGCAGATGAAAAAGATGATATAAATCCTAGAGTAAACGGGATTTATTTCACATTAGGAAAGGTTAATTTGTGTATTACCTTTGATGATGGCAAGAAGCGTAAAAGCATACCCAATGAATTCATAGTCGTTGGACTAAATTGGCCTGATTATTTTCCTGATTTAACTTTGGGAATGCTGTGGTTATGAGAAAATGGTACAACTTTGGATATATGTAATTCAAAACTATTATTAGACGATAATTTTGCAATCCCAATCAAAGAAGTAAAATATGAACCCAATGCAGAATAATGATTATTCGAAGCAGTGATCGTGTATTACTAGCCTTATTTTTTCTGATTAAAAGATATTCTAACTGTAAAAAATGCATACAGATAATTTATTTGATCTTCTTCCACCTGAATTAATACAATTTATTCTAATATATTTTCCAGAACAGGATCTAAAAAATTCTCATAGTATAAATAGTATATGGGAAAGAGAGGTGAATCATGTATTGTCCAAAAGAATGAAATTTCAAATATGGGGATTGCCTCAAGGTAATTATACGGTAAAGGAATTTTATTCGAAATTGAAAGAGTGTAATGTAAGCAAAGACTATCTAGAATGGCTTCTTAAAAATCTATTTCTCAAAGGATTATCACCTGAGAATACATTTAAAGTTCTTATAGATAGTTTACAGAATCTTGCGTTAGATAAGATAGTGGAAAGGCTTAGTTCAGATCAGTGATCTTGTAATTTTATTTTTTCGTTTGAAGATACAATATATATTATTTATGGCGCAGTCAAGAATCTTTAGTATACCAGAAGTATTAGAATAAATTTTATATTTTTTAGCGATAGATAAATCCCTCTATCCTACTCTATATATTTCCCAATTGTGGTACAGATGCAGTACTCCTATTTTATGGAAACGCATTGAGCTAAAGAGGAGTAATACACAAAAAAATTTTATGAAAATAATACGTGAGGAGCAGAAGCCAGTTTATTGTTCGATTGTAACTTATCTAGAAATTCCAGATTACCATCTTTCAGATAAAAAATTCAAAAGCATTGTAGGCCTATTCCCAAATATAGTTCATTTAAATTTACATCATAGTGTAAGATTTAGTAATAAAACATTAAACCGAATAGCAGAATCATATCCCAATCTGAAGTACCTCAACTTAGGAGGGTATAATGGTGATAGATTAATAACTGATAAAGGTCTATATGCAATCACAAATTCATGCCATAAATTAGAATATCTGAATATTTCTAGTCGCAAAGAATTTTCTGAAATAATGATTTGGAATGTTATTCATTCTTGTCCAAGGATCCAAGAATTCGTTATTTATGGATGTAAAATATCCAATACAACTTTCAAGGAAATTGAATTATATCTTAAAATAAAATATATTAATCCAGATATTGCTACCCGATATTTGGAAAAAATTGGCCAGAGTCAGATGTGTTTTTCCAGCTCTTCTTCTGGAGATTCCAATTTATCTGAAAATTCTAAATATTACATTGGACATCAAAATCCGCTATAGATAACATTTCGATCGGCATAGTCTATATAAGCAAGTTGCCTGTTTTAGACATGAACACTGATGGCTAATTTATTTTTTTCGATTAAAGATACAGCATATATTATTTATAACGTATATTGGAGAAACTAAATTATATCTTAAATTAAAATATTTTGATAGTATTGTCAGTCAGCGTGATCTCACATTATTCTTTTATCATAGGCTCCCATATTGTGAAAAAAAATGTTAGGATGATAGAAATACAGAAATTTTCGAGTTCAGAATATTAGTCATATTTTTCTCAATAATTAGACTAATTTCTGCAGTACAAGGTAGAAATGGAAAGCGAGCGCTATAACGAAGTAGCCGAAAGGATCCTAGAGGGATCAGGTAAAAAAGAGAAGCCAGAGACTCGAAGCTATGCTTCCTCATCCAATAATTTACCTAGCGATCTAAAGGAGCTAACCAAAGTATTTGAGAAAATTTAGAGGCGCTAAAAAACATGGTAAAATTGTTTAAAAGCGATGTGAGTAAAATGTTTGATATTTCCAATCCTAATTTTCCAGGCAATTCGATTAATATTAATCCGGAAAAGTGATCATCAGCTTGGAAGAATTGCTGAGCTACTTTCGGTCAAATTATATGACTAAAATATGTGATCATCAGACAGGTTTGTGCAACATATTATTCTGAAAAAAAAAGTTATATATATTAACCTTTAGTCTATTTTTTCTTGAACAAACATGAGAAAAATGTGAAAGGGTATCTAGTTGCAATACAGGACCTGCTCTAAAAGTAATTAATAATGTCAAAAGCATATGTTATGAAAGGCTGAAGGACTCGCAATTTCGAGATCACCAGGTATAAACTAACTATATGTTTCTTTGGTAGATCCCTATGTGAAAAGGTAAGAGGATTTCATTTACATGTGCTTTCATGAAACTCTTGGCATTATACGACAATGCTAATCACTATTCTTATCTCCTTTTCTTTTCTCAGCAAGATATAAAGCGTGTAAATGTATGTGGAAGTTCAGTCAACTTTCCACAAAAAACTTTTCTAGAGAAAATAACATAAAATAAGGTATGTATATGCCTTAAATTATGTATGTATAGAAGTAAGTTTTTTTCACTATAGGTTCTTATATTTAGAAATCAAAATGAGTTATGACACCATCGCTCTTAATTGTCTTATCATTCCAATAGGAAAACTTATGAATATTCCAGGTATAAAAGTAATATAAGCAATTGTAGTTCGCAAACATGAAGGTGCTAGATATATTGAGGCTGAAATTCAAAGCAGATTAGTGGCATCATTTAATAAAATCTCTCTCAAAATTTGTATAATTCAAGTTAGAAGTGTTAATGAAAGGGAAATGGATGGATACGATCAGTTTTCTGAAATTTTTTCTTTTGATGAGAAGCCTAAAGTATACCCCAAATAATTTTCTGTATCATGTAGCGATATAGTCACAATTTTATATATTGTAGGCTGGCTTGGTCCCTTTAGAACCCTTCCGGCAATGTTTTTTTTTATTTCTTAAATAAAGCATATATTACGTTCTTATCATAAATCTTGAAAAATGTCACGTGTAATGATGTAATATAATCGCCTGACAGTTCTGTACTACATTTTAATTGCATATATATTGGGCAAATGCATTATGAATCGATACAAAAAAATCTATCATTTCTACCTGAGCGCTTTACTCTAGAAACCAAAAATACTTTTATATCCATAAACCAGCTTTACCTGTAACTGCAGTTGAGTACATATTTTTTCGCAAGCACAAACTCACATATATAAAAACCATGTCTTCACAAGCTTCTTCACCTGTTTTACCTGCCTCAATAACAGAAGAAATTTCAATTAAAACAATGTCGGACGTGGTTAGGGATTTTAATAAAAAGGAGCTTATTGAATATTTGAAGAAGAAAAACTTGAAGCTAGAGGAGTTCCACTTCGAAATTTTACGCAAAGAAGAAATTTCTGGCCTTACCTTTCTTGATACAACTAAAGAGGAGTTTCGAAGTTATGACTTGAAAGCTGGTTTTGCAACAAACTTGCAAAATTTATCGAAGGTCTTAGCCAGAAATTAAAAAACTATTCCTCACTTAAAACTCTTGACAGCCTGAAGGAAATGTTGTGTAGAAATAAGGTCAATAGGGAAGATATAATAAACATCAAGCAGTTTACCCCTGGTAGGTAATTAATTATTTTTCGAAACTGACTAGATAGCTATATTAACTTTATTTTACTTTGTAGACTTTGAGGAGATTAGTGATGATGATAAGGCGTTCGAACACTGTATAAAGAACATTATCTTAAAACTTTCGAATGTGAAAACATGATCGATGCTAACAAGGCCACGTGTTGTGAATTTATTTCAGCTATATTACATGCGTCCATCGCTATAGCTAAAAAACTCACCTCTCAAGATATATTTATAGTTTTGCAGAAAGACGTTTCTGGTAAAAATGCCACTGACCGAGTAGACTACACGATCAAAAGTTTGGAAGACTTACTTTGTATAACTGAGGGGAAACCGTGTAATATCAAGATTGGATATGCTCAGATAAGAGTACTTGTCTTCTCAGTTTATTGACTTTGAAATAAGAAAACTAAAAAAAGTGATGTATTATATCTCTTAGAATCTAGCACAACTTGAAAGCGCGTTTTAGATAAATAAAAAGAAACGGATTGTAGATCAAGCGTTTTGGAATAACTATTTTGACTATATCTATAGTTTTGTGACTACAGGTACAGAGTGGCACTTTATCATATATACTCCGGATGGTATATACTCTACGAGTGAAAGCGAATACCAGATCAATCTTATGAAGTCTACCGTTAAAGAAAACCCTGAATTACTTCGAAGCAACGTGAAAAGGGTAATAAGTATTATTTGAGGCTGAGAATACAGAGCTTAAGAAGGAGAATACTGAGATCCCTTATCTTAGAAACAAGCTCTCAGTGTCTGATGCTAAATAGCTGAACTTAAGCACAGGAATATCGAGTTTCTAAAAGCGAATAAGGAATATAACGAAAGACGTGATGCCGAGAATGCCAAACTTAAGACCAGAATCGAGGAGTAGTAGAAAAACAAGGAAGATTCTTCAGCTGAGAATGTTAGGCATGATGTTGAAATTGCTGAGATTAAGGTTGAAGTAGTGAAACTAGCTAAATGCGATCAGGCAAGAGACAATAATGAAGAAAGCAAACAGTTAACTTCCTATTAATCAGAGGTTATTTCTAAAGAAATGATTTCAGGATATGATCAGAATACTATAGATGAGATAGAGCCTTAAAGCTCTGCTTCCTCGAATACTATTAATCTGGTATCGAATGTATATGAGAAGGAGGATATGAGTGATCATACTTTAGTACCTTCGGCTAAATCATCAAAGGAAAAAGAGATAGATGCTTTCTTGAACGAGGTGGATAAGAAAATGATTAGTGACAGGATTAGGCAAAGGAATAGAGAGAAAAAACTTCAGCGAAAAAACGAACAGGGTTTGATTTAAGAAATTAATTCATTCATGAAAGAAAAACACATTCTCTCAGCTTTGACTGAAATTTCAGCAAACTAAGTTCGCCCAAATTCTTTAGCAGAGAGAAATGAAGAGCGAGCGGTCCTCTCTGATATTATTAATCTATATGAAACTGCGTGTGATGCAGAAAAGAAAGCAATCAAAGCCAATAGAAAAGAAACTTTGCGTTGGTGTTTCTATGCTAGAGAATTCAAGAGAATGTATAAAGATTTTATGGTCAACAATAAAGTTGGGAAAAAGAAAGCGAAAGGTCAGGTATATGATTTTATTATCAAACAACTTCCCGATACTAAACGCAAAACTTTATGTAGGCAAATACAGAAAGCTTTGAGAATTGACGATTTATTTGAAAAAATAGGAATGGACAAGCTTCAATACATAAAAACATATAATGCAGATACTATTTCAAAATTTACTGATCTTCAGATTCAAACAATTACAGATCACTTCACTAAAAAGCCTAATATGGAATTTATTGATGATACTGAGAACATAGAATAAGATAACGAGATCCTAGAGGAACCTGATTAGATTAATATATTAGAGATCTTTCCTCCAAAGGAATCAACTGCATCTATTCCATTAGCCCATATCTCTAATTCTTCTGATAATTCCAAAGAAACTGGCCCAAACTATTCGCTCGAAGCTGAAGACGATTACTACAAAATGCTCTTGGAAGATTATGTGAAGGATTGTGTGTATTTTGATAAGGAAGTTGATTCCACACCCCAGTCAGTGAAAGAAACAAATGAAGAAGTTGCTGGGTGAGAATCGAATGAAATTAAGTCAGACAATGACTCCGATTCTAGTGATCCTGAAGAAAAAATGCTGGATGATTCTGATGATGATGGATATAATGGATATGGTGGATATAATAAATACAGTGAATGTAATAGAGGTTATTATTATCGTGATGGAGGATGTGAAAGGAAAACCTCCCCAATGATGAATCCTATTATCTCACCAGTAACTGCTTAAGAGAATTATTAGATGAATTGCATATTCGCATAGACGAAATTATCGTATAAGTTATTTCTTTTTTGAATCATGTGGGTGGCTTAGATATCTTGCACAGTAAAATGTCATTTATTCTTTTCCGCAGTAATTATGTCACATGTTCTATAATATTTTTTTTCTTTGAGATTTTAAATTCACTCTTCTAAAGTCAAAAGTATGATTCGTAAAAAGAATAAAAGACATATTTAATCCACACCATCGGCAACTTCAACATCAGCCAATAAGACTCAACCCAAAAGTGTTACAGTAATGGATACAGAATTGCGAGAACTTATTCGTCAAGGTCTAGTAGTTGATGAAGTTCACAAAGTATTATCATATGATTAAAAAAATATGCCTTGGGTTGATAACTTTATTAATCTTTCGATTAAGCTCAAAAACCAATGTGATGATCTAATAGAATAAAGCATATTACTCTTTAATGAGAGAACTCTTTAGCATGAAGGCATTTCG